TAGTTAGCAGTCCTCTCAGAGTTCCGTCCAGGCTATTTACATTTGCAGATGTGCCAACAGAAACAACTATAAGTTGATTCTCCAGGGTCCTGGAGAATCCAAACACATTCAGTCCTTTTTGTGTGTGTGGCAATTATTATCATTACCTAGTTTAAATGGACAAAGTGTCTTTCATGATAGAAATGTAAGTAGAGGCTTCCCTCTGAAATGTTCATGATGCCTCTCTACAGCTACAGGTGTCATTGAGTCTAATGTTATAAACACATTCACGTGTGCACAGTGCATATGACTGAGGGAGAATGGAGGCTGGGTATATACCCAGTACAACAGAGGTAATCTAAGCAGGACATTTCACAACTGGAAATAATCAGGGTTGAATTCAGGAATGGTATCTAATCTCCAAGAAAAAGAAAACTTCCCTATCTGTGTGATAAGGACACTTGGGTTGTAGAATCCTCCTGGGAACTGTTATCAGGATCACATTATCAGGAATGTTCATTTAAAGATTTGCAAGGGTTTTTTTCCCTTAAATTTCTTAAACCTGAGGGATCACAACAATGAAGTATGTATATTAGCATTCTATTTCAAAAGTCAGGGAGCCCTTTTGCAATTATCCCTTAAAACAAAACCTTTCAGGCTCAGGGTGTCCTGCTAAGCCTTCCTCCACTGATTCCAAACAAAATATTATGATGAATAGGGCTATTTGAGAGAATTCATCCTTAAGCTAGGGATGTAGCTCAGAGGTAGAGTTCTTGCCTAGTATGTGAGATGCCCTGGGTCCCATGCCCAGGAGAGAGAGAGAGAGAGAGAGAGAGAGAGAGAGAGAGAGAGAGAGAGGGAGAGAGAGAGATAGAAATAAAAAAATTGCCCACAAGAGAGAGAAGCTTAAATTCTCCTCAAGCACCCTACCCCCAACTTCCTGCCTGAGCACCTAGGAACACATGGAACTTTCTCCTGATTCTTTGCTCTGATGTTGAAGGCTGAGATGCTCTACAGGATGGCATAGCCAACTTAAACACTAAATTTCAAAGCCACATTACGTCACAGCTGTAACCAAATAACAACAAAGTCCAAAGAGAAAATTTCTTTGTTTGCACAAAAGGCCCCAGTACATGATTTTTCTTGAGGAAGATAATTTTAAATGAATTTTTTAAAGTCACAATATTGTGATACTTGGTGATCATTATTTCAAAATGACAGATGCTATTGTTCATGGAGAAATTTTCAGTTGATTTTCTCCTACCAGTGGTTCAATTGAAAGATTCAGCAGCTGCTCCCTGGAGAAAACTGAAGATCTGCATTTAAATAGAGATATAGTATTTCCAAATGCACAGTACCTAGGAGGCAGATACCATCAAGGTTTCGTAGTGAGAATAGATCAGATTGTATTAGGTACATTTCAGTGCTGCAGCTCTCCCCATTTCACAGCGCTCGCTTATCCATAACAGCCCTTTTTCCTCTATGCATTCTTCATAATGTTTGTCCCGAGAAGTTAAAATTAAACCTCGCTCCAAAGCAAAGTCCTCACACTAACAACAAGCAATTACTAACGTACATATCATTTCTGATGTGTGCAGAAAAAGACCACAGAAGATAGCTTGGCCAGAAATGTTAAATAATTGAAAAGTATAATGACTTAATAGAGTAGTAAGCTTGGATAACACTGCAGCCAATTTAAAGCCATAAAAATACTGTGTAAAAATTTTATCTTGTGGTTGACCATTACATAGCCTATCTATTATTCAAAAGCATCTCAACAGTGTTTTTCTTCATTAATGTGGCTTTTGGCCTTTCCCTCAAAAATCTTTCCATTCCAACAGTTTTCCAACAATTTCCAAACAAATACACATTTTCTGCATTGTATCATAAAGTCTTTCACTAGGATGACTATATCTTGAATGTCCAGCTGAAAGAGATTTCATAGGTCAACCTACAAAGGCAAATTTTAACCTCCTCGAATATGAGTTGGTTTGCATTTAGCAGAGTAAAGCACACAAGACATTAAAAAAATAAAAAAGAAAGAAAGAAATTAAAGCTACTCGTTTGGCACATCTGTAAAGGGAAGGAAAACCTTCCAGAAACAACTCTTTTTCTATGACAGACGAATACAGGGATTTGTTTTTTAGAAAACGTTAGGGCCCTCAGAAAAGTTTTGCCTTGAGTGTTCAACTAAGAAGCATAGCAAAAGAGTTTAAAAATGAGAAAAAAAAAACATTTAGGATCAACCTTTAGTATAAGCCCATTGCCTCTTGTGCCCCTTGCTAAAATTCTCACTGCAAATCAAAAGTGCCTTCCTCAGACACAGCTCATAGCTGTTCCTGAGAGCCTTCCAGTGGTCTGTGTGACTAGATGGTCCTTATCGTGCTATACTGCCATACACATGCTGATTTAATTTTGGAGCTCAAAATGAAAGATGAAAAATCTTGATGATTACTTTATATTGAAATACTGTTTCAGTAAAAAGTGGTGCTCAGTTGGAGATGGGCGCATGGTACTCTCTGGGTAACCTTTTAATTTCTGGGGAAATTGTACAGAGTAAATTGAGCTATACACACAGGGAAACCTAATCAATTGATCTGGTCTGTTTTGTTAGAGCACCACTCATCAGGAACACACCTGGTCCCCCCAAGCAATTCTTAGCAAAGAAGACTGCAAATTTCAGTTTGTATCATGCACGAAGACTTCAACACTATTTTGATTTACTAAAGAGAAGGAAGCATCCCTTACATCCATCCATCACCTCAGTCAATGGACAGTGCGACATGATGCCAGTCACAACAGACGCACATTTATTCCTACATAATGCAAGTTTAAAGAGTTATAAGAATTGCTTTGACAAAATAACACGGGTACAGATAACAGACAAATCAATGTTTAAGAGATCACAGAGGCCAGCTTCCTTACAGCCTAGTTGCTTCCATGTTGGTAGGGAAAGAATCCCCTTCAAGGTCACTTCCCTCCACCATGAGGGCTGCCACTCCTGAGCTCAGATTTGAGAACCATTCAAATGTCCCTCTCTTTTTCACAATGACAGAGCTGTTTCTCAGGTTGGCTAATTCATTTTGATAGCATCAAATCTGCTGGACAGGAGGAGAAATTTAAAAATATATATCAACAACCTTGAAACCTTTCTTGCTAATACATTTCTGAGGCTTGCTCTTTTCTGCTGTTTCAGAACTTGGGAGTTTTCCAACCACACTGGTCTCTGGACAGCATAAGAAATTAAGGGGTTCTCTTCACAACTAGACCAAGTCATTCAGCTGACTAGAACAGGCTTTACAACATCTAAAGGTCTCCTCATCTTTAAGTAACTTAGCTGGAGTGTTTTGAAAGTAGCTAGAGGTCATAGGTGGGCCTAACAAAGTCTCTTAACCCAAGGGCTGAGAAAGTCCTCCTCTCCCTGCCTCCCTCCCTCCCTTCCTCCCTCCCTCCCTCTGTCCCTCCCTGTTCCCTCCCTTCCTCCTTCCCTTCCTTTTTAAAAATTTTGGGGGGGGGATGGGTGGGTGGGTCACAGAGTTTTATTCAGTCACTGCCCTCTGATTTACATCAGCCAAATCGCTTGCCTTCTCTGTGTCTGCCTAATTGCGCCCACACCAGCTCTGAAAACTACTGCACAAGCACCACAGAGCCATGTGGGAACTCAGATCCCAACCCAAGCAAGCACAATAAATAAACACAGCCAAACAGTCATCCCACAGCATCCAGGCTATCCGGGTTTCCAGGCCTTTCCCAACTCTTCCAGAACTGCTCATTAAGATTCTGGGAGGGGGAGGGTTTGCATTTAGGAAAAGGTTGCCTGCTGGAAGGACAGAAGAGGGGAGGGCAGGAAGCGAGCTTTGCCCCCAGTGTCATTCCCTCTCCCACCATCCAGAGAGGGGTGGGGGTGCGCGGGACGCTATCCTGCAGGCGCTCTGACAGATGGGGGGGGGCGGGCAGGAGGCGACGGTAAGCAGTTTGGAATACTTGGTCGAGTGACCTCTGGGCAACTTCGTGACTCCCTGGGGAAGGTGAAAGGGTTGGGGAGCCTGGAAAGGGACAGCTTAGAGGACAGGAGGGACACCCAGCACCAGAGTGGCAGCAAATGTCCCTGAGAGCAATCTTCAACTCCTGACACCCCCTTCACCCTCAAGGACCCCAGCCCCAGGTCCCCTCACCCCCTAAACACTCACAGTCCGGGTACCCTAACTCTGCCCTCGGTCTTTACCACTTTACCAGGCACTGAAGTCTGTAACCAGGAAGGGGGATGGGAGGGGTGTTGAAAGAACAAATCTAACTGCAATTCGAATTTACCCGTGTCTCTAACACCTGGCAGTTTTGCAGTCTCGACCAGGCGAGTCTACAAGAGGTGGACACTGCTGATGTCTGCTTCGTGGAGAGGGTATCATTTATTTTTCTTTTCTTTTTTTTTTTTTTTTTTCCTCCGAGAGACTCTAAGCAAGTGAAGGGGGAAGGGGTGGCAATACGGATTCCAAGCGGGACTGCAATAAAGAACGCCCCCCGATGCAAATGCCTGATGGCTAAGGATGGGAGCGGTTACCTTGGCGGGGTCAGAACTGCAGCAGGTTAATCGGGTGAGTCCTCGGGGGAT